CGTGAGCGAATCAACAGGTCTATAGAAGTCTTATTTTCCGGTATTCCAATCGAATCAACGAGTTTTTTGATATTCTACGCGAATCAACGGATAATATGAATTTATCCATGTTTTTCTATTTTTCTCATTTACTTCTACTACGTCACTACTTTTTCAGATTTTCATCGCCATCACTACTACATCACAAAAGAGGAACCCATGCATATACATTGTAAAAAATACCCTTTGCAGAACCCTAGACTAAACGACGTCCACCTCTCTGAAAATCATTCTCTCTCTCTCCTCTCCTCTCCTCTCCTCTCTCTCTCTCTCTCTCTCTCTCTCTCTCTCTCTCTCTCTCTCTCTCCATATTTCTGCGACGAAAGGGGATGGGACTACGACGACGGAGATCGGGGGTGAGGTGGTGTGAGCCTCGGCTTGCTGGGGTGGAGCGCAGGAGTGGGGCTACGATCGACGGAGATGGGGATTGAGTGGCGGTGGTCGACGAAGATCTGGGGCTTGGGGACATGAGCCACGATCTGGTTTTTAATTTCCAGCACTGTTTTTTTTTTTTTTTTAAATTTTAAATGCCAATTGATTTTGCATTTTTGTTTAATTTAAAGGATTTGTTATGCCTTGTATGAGGAGCTTGGCATTGGAGACATAGAGAAAGAACGCGAGATGGAGAGTAAATTACTAATGTTAGTGATATTCTGAATTAGCTCTTCTTTTATGCATGTTCTTTTGTTTTATGCTTGAAATCCGCTACATGTTTCTCAATGTGTACTCTGCTATTGAACATACCTTAAAAGGTTTTATACTTATAACAGTAAAGAGTGAATTTAATTGTGTTATTCCCACTCTATCATTTGAAGGAGAAATCCTGTTGGTCCATTTGCTAACTTAATATCATTTTTTTTTTCTAGGGTGTGTCTTGAGCTGATTCCTCATGAGAAGTTATCATCTGCAAATACGTCGTGAGCTGTTTTTCAAGTTCTTTGCTTGTTGAGCTTCATTTTACTGCTTTATGTTTTTAGGAAAGGTTTCTAAAAGATAATGAAAAGAGTGGTTGATTTGTTGCATAGTCGTTCTGAAGTGTTTAATGATATTTAATATGATTTCTTACTTTTGAATATAGTACATTACGGTAATTTCTTAAATGACAACTCAGTAATTTCTGTAAAAACAAGAATGATCAATTTTTTGAATAAAAATTGTCTAAATTATTCATTAAGTAGCTTTGTTTTTTTGAGATTCTACCATAGTGGTTTTTTCGTTTGTTATATAAATGGTAAAAAAATCCTACTACTTACAGGACAAGTAGTTGAATTGACACTACGGTAATTTTTAAAATGACTACTCGGTAATTTTTGTAATGATCAATAATCAATTTTCTAAATAAAAACTGCCTAAGTTATTTAGTAAGCAACTTTTTTTAATATTCTACTAGTGGTTTTTCCATTTAATGTATAAACGGTAAAGAAATCCTACTACTAGCAAGACAAAATAGTTGAATTGGTACACTACGGTAATTTTTGAAATGACCACTCAATAATTTTTGTAATTAGCATAATCAATTTTCTAAATAAAAACTGCCTAAGTTATTCATTAAGCAGTTTTTTTTTCTTTAGATTTTACTGGTGGTTTTTTCATTTATGTATAAATGGTAAAAAAATCTTACTACCAGTAGGACAAAGTAGTTGAATTGGTAGATGACCACTAGGTAATTTCTATAATGACCATAATCAATTTTTTGAATAAAACCTTCCTAAGTTATTGCTTCATAGTTCTTTTAAAACAGAATTCAAAAACAAAAAACAAAACAAAACATCAAACATACTCCTACCAAAAGTTCAAAATATCAAAGTGTAAAGACAAATGAGTAACCAACATTAAAATAAATTTTGAAAAATGTAGACAATCCACGTGTCAGTGGATAAGTTAGTAATAGAGTACTCAAACTGATTCACTGGTCGAGGCTGAAAAAATTATAGGTAAACTAATAAGTCAAGAGCCACCTATCTCCTCTCTACGTGCCATCTCTGCATTACGGATCTCAAATTTCATCAAGAATCCAACAGGTATTCTCCTGTTCGACATCCTACAAAACATACATAACTCACAAATCTAAAATAAGAAACCTTAAAAAAAGAACGTTTGAATTTTGTATCTAAGAGAACTAATTTGAAAGTGAATTTAGCATTAAAATCCCACTCATGAAAAAAGAAATTTAGCATATGATGCTGGTAATCACCATTATGATCACTAGTAATTATTCTGCATAGCAAGCTTTTAAAAGTTTAAATATTCTACATTATTATGATTATGTTAAGTTATATATTTATATATATGTAAGAAAAAAAAGATTTAAAAATATGATGTGATATATATGTATATACGTTATGTTTTCCTATCATCCATCGCCGGCCTAGCATAGCATATAGCTGGCGGCGGGTTGTGGCAGTTTTTGATATCGGAGAGAGAGTTTAGCTGATTTTATACACAAACCCCATATGTACAGACATTGCGACCGCAACTCTCTCCCTGTAAGTGTTATGTGACGTTACGCCCCAGTCAGATCGAAGGCTCCACCACCGCATTGAACCTATGGAGTTGAAGGACTCTTTTGTGTCCAGTACATTCCCATCGAGTCCAATGGCAATGCACCAAGGTTGAGGGCCATCCCCCACCTTTGCATGCATTGGGATCAACCCATTATAGAAGTTCGTCTTTATTTTGTTAATCTTTTTGAAACGTTTAGTTCATTGATTAGAATCATGTGATTATAACTATTTTTAATTTACATGTATTTTTTATGAGAGAAAATACTGTAACGAACCATGATTCAAATCATGATTTGAATCCTCCAACCAAACATCCCCTTTATAATTTGGTAATGACCGGAAAAAAAATAAAATAAAAATAAAAAACGTTAAGCATGCTTATGTGGCTATGTGCTTTACATGCAGGGTCTATGGTCTAAAAAATTCATGCTTTCTAGCTTTTTCAAATAAAACAAAATTTTGAAATTACAGTTTTTTTTTTTTTTTTAAAAAGAACTTGCTTCCAATGAAAGAATCGTATTTAAATATAACTTCAAAAAAGAATCGTGCTTAAATATACCTAACCAAGCGATATACATTTTTCATGTATTGTATTGGCGTGGGGAAAATGTGAAGAATAAAATTTAAAACCAGATGTTGAGAGTGGGATTTGAACCCACGCCCTTTCGGACCAGAACCTTAATCTGGCGCCTTAGACCAACTCGGCCATCTCAACAGATACCATCAAGCGTGCAACTTTTAAAATTTATACGAGATTATTACAATATTCTTTGATAACAAATGCTAAAGACAATCCAAATTTTACAAATTGTCCCCTTTTAACCACCAATTTGTTATTTGTGTAGGATTCTTTAACTATTCGTTTGTTTTCGTATAATATCAAGGTTTACACAAATGCATAGATGGGGCTAGTTGAGGATGGTCTCTGCTTTACACAAATGCTTCTGACTTTTCTTGTTGAAAATTTACTGGCTGCATTCTAAGACTTCATTTTTCTGTTATTTTATACTTGTGTTAACAAAATCACCCCTTAGAATGTACTTTTACATTCCCTTTTGAAGATATCATTCGTGGAATAAAGTTAAGCTCATCTAGTTTCTCTGAACTTACTGTTGACGGTGAAAATTTGTCAACAGATTAATAATAGATTTTTGATAGTTTGATTAAAACATGATTAAAGAAAATTAAGTGAAAATCAACACAAAAATTTTATAGTGGTTCATCCCGAATTCTAAAGCTATATCTATTGTGAAGAGGGAAAAATATTCATTATGAATTCTGAATATAATTTCTTCTTACTGAGTTGTGAGCCTCTCGGCTCACCATTTTTTTACATATATATTAGCTCAATTCCCCTCAACCTCTGCCATTTCCACCATTACATTCCATCATTATATTATATCACATCATCTCATATTTTGGATGTAGTCGTTGGCGGGTGGAGTGCCTGCCGGTCAACAGTGATCTTTCCCATACTTCCCTGCTAACTTCGCTTGCTTACAAGTCACGTAAGATATCCTACAAGTTCGGTTTTTCTTCAGACTGCGTGCAATTAGCTCCTCAAGCGCCTATCATGTTGTCTCCGCTTACGTTTGCCTAAAGCAGTTGACCTCTTGTCTACCTTGACGCATCTGTACGGTCGACCTCTTGCCTATTTTCACTCTTCTGTATGGTCGACCTCCCGCGTTATCTTGCGGTCGGCCTCTACCAAGTTTCATTTTGCAGATACTTTATGTTAAGCTGTCATGGCCACTAATCCACCCATTGTGTCACGTGGCGCTCATCTAGTGCCTGACGTAGTGTGAAATTTTTTCCTACAACACCTACCTATAATCGACTCAAAGTAAGTGCTTTACTTTTAGAAGGATTTAGCGAAACAACCTAATCAAATTTTTATTTTTAACCTTAAAACTTTGCATTGATTCTAGTTGTAGATTAATTTATAAGAAAAGGAATGGATCTTTCACTCACATTATGTTGTTGTGTTGTAGGAAACGTTAAGGATATCATAGATGCCATTTTAAGTTCATAATTCTGTATTGCAAGCACAAGGCTGATTCAATGATGTACTTTATTCAAAAAGAGGGAGATATAGCTTAAGCTTTGAGTAAATGGACAGCTCTTTGAAACTAAAGCAATCGCGGAATAATGGAAATTACTAAAACTTTATCGTTATATGATTAGGAAAAAAAAAGACTAAAACTTTACCATTAATTACAGTAGATATTGTTGCCTTTTGCTACTACTAGTTATTAGTAGCAACAAGTGTAAATAACTAAAAACCTTTCTAGTCCCTATGCCCTGAAGCATAAAGTCATTTTTCTTTCCTACCAAGTTTATTGTCCACTAACATAATCAGTCATACTAGTGTCATATTAAACAATACCATATATGAAATAAGAAATTTAAACTTGCTATTCCAAGGAACTTAATTAGAAAGTCATGGATCCCAAACGGCTAATAGCTACTAGTGGGTGGAAGAATAGCAGCATATTGCCTGTCCAGAACATCAATCAGTTTGTCAGCAATTGCACTTGCATACAAAGAAGAACCTTCATATATCTGCAACATCAAAACAAACCAAAAAAAGCAATTTAAAAAAATAAACACGATTATTTCGATATTATTTCGTCTTATTGTGGCATGCAATAATCCTCAAAATTTGCGTGTTGTTATATGACAGTATGTGATTGGACTAAAAGCGATATCATAAATGATTTGGACTACCACCAACCTTAGTGTTGAACAAGAAGCTATAGGTGTCGCCAACATGTCCACCGGCAACATGGCGAAGATCCAGCTGAAGTTCGTCGAGCACTCTGGAAGCGATGAGCAAGAGGTTGATCTTCTTTCGCTGAATAAGTTTGACGGTTACCTCATCCTCGATGATTCGAACGTCGACTTCGGTGTCCTTGGATTTCCTTTGAAGCCAGGAGCTCCTTGTGTAGGACTGGTCAGGATCCATCTTGATGTGGCAGTTCTCGACGTCCCCAACGTCCCCACCGATGTCTTCCTCAGTTTTCTGCCTCTTGATACTCTCTCTGCTGCGCCTCTTTTTCTCCACCAGTATCTTCAGCTCGTTCACTGTTCTCCTAAGTTCTTTGATGTACTCAATAGCATCTCCCACAACTGATGCTCTATCGTTCTTTCAAGCATTGGATTTTATACCCAGAAAAACAAAAATAGTTAGAGAGTTGATGAGCAAACTGAAACAATAGGAAAAAAATAATAATAAATAATATCCACAAAACTATTATGCTCTCTTAGCTTTGAAATATGTAATTAAGCTCTCAAATTAATAGTTCTGCGTCAAAATTGTCCTTGAGCTACCTAAAGAAACTTTTGCATATGATTCTACATAATTACATTCCAAACAATACAATCTCTGAAATTAAGAATGCACCATATATCGAAGAATTCGGTCATGTTGACATTATTTTTGTCTAATCTTACTTACCTTAATTTTTCGTTCATTTTCAAAAGAATTTATTGTTGATGCATGAACAAATGCAAAATAAAAATTTACCACCTATAAAATCAGGTCCAAAACCTCCAAAGAAAAATGAAATGTGTGTGGATTACATGACAAATTTTACAAAAAGCCTTGCAAAAGTATAGTTCAAAGACTAATTTGATAGATACAAATATTAATATGGGGCTTTGAATGGCACATTTTAGAACATAAAGAACCAAAAGGGGACAAATGAGGACTAATAGTTTAATATTAATAGTTTAAATGAGGACTAATGATGTTAACCAATGCAGACAGGGAGAAAATTCCAGGGCTGAAAATGGTGCATGTAATGAATGGAATCTTTTACAATAAACAATAAAAGAAGCAACTATTATAATTTGTGTGTTACCTTAGTTGGGTTAGGAACCAAATTCCTCAAGGTTGTGTAAGTGTCCCTCATCTGATCTCTCCTATGGCGCTCGGAAGCGAAATGTTTGGTCACTCTGCCATCTCTCCCTCTTTCGATTTGAGCTCCGTCCCTCGCGAACTCCAACACCCCATTCTCAAACTGCAATCCTTCAGGCCCATAAATCCCTGCACTTCCTTCTCTCTCAATGTCCCCACTAGTACTAAACAATGAGCCGTTGTTGTTTCTTGAGGCTGAAGGAAAGGTGTTGTAGCCATTCGGGAGGGACTGAAAGAGCTCCTTGAAGAGAGGAGGTTGTGGAGGCAAGTTCAAGTGGAGAAGCGGGTCGTAGAGGACCGAGGAGCACGAGGAGGGGCTGTTCGCGAAGGTGATGGTTGATGCGGGGAGTAAGGAGGAGGAGGAGGAGGGTGAGCATCTTGGGAAGTGGAAGAGGTTGAGAAGGTCAGGCTGCTCATGGAGGAGTTGTTGTTGTTGGTGGTGTTGGTGTTGGTGATGCCAATTCGGGTGGTGATGATCGAAGGACACCAACTGGCCGGTCGCCGTGTTAATGTCTATATTGGTGGAGCTCTCCATGTTGAAGGCCAGTTGTTGCTGCTGCTGCTGAAACTCAATGTCAAGGGCGGCTGAAGCTGCAGCGGCTGCATCTTCTTGGTGGTGGTGGTGGTGGTGGTATGAAAACTCTTCCGTGGGGTGCTTGAGGTTTCCATCAGCACCGGGGAATCCGCTCATTTGCGGGTGGAATCCATCTTCTGGGGCTGCAGCATCTGGTATGTTGTTGGGATCAAAGCCGCAGTTGTCCTCCACATACATTTTTGGGATGTAAATTCTATAAAAAATAAAAAAAAATAAAAAAAAGGAGAAGAAAAAGTTTGAACAGAAGTATAAATTAGCCTATACAAAGTATTTATTGGGGGTATTACGAAAATTCACAAGGACATAAAAAGAGAGTTTTTCTATACAAAACAATTCATATATATCTATAGCAAGAAAGAGCCCAGAAGTTTGAAATATAAGATTAGCCTTTTAAACTTTTAACTCAAAAATAGGATGATATCAATTTGAGAAAAGAGCTATAAAAGAGGAATTTATATGTTGGCACAGAAAAGATTTCACAAATTATTATTAGACGGCTGAGAAAATGAAAAGGTGGGTAATGAAATCTATTAATTGCACATGGAAGAGCAATATTGAAGGTCTCAAGTGATTAATATTAGCCCATCAAGACAAGATAGCCTTCTTTAAACAATTAATTTGTCCTTGAATATAATCCAACTTTACAAAAGAAAAAGAAAAAGGAAAACAACAACAAAAAACCATTCACAAAACAGATGCAAGAAGGTGATCAGATGTTCTAACATCCCTGATGAACATTCAAATAAATTCAACAAAAAGGACCGTTAATGGAAGTAATTAACAGAACCTAGCCCAAACATAGCTATCTCTCTGTCTATACACTAAGTGATTCATATGCATTTATGATACAGAAAAATATAACCAGTTGAACCTCAAAGCAATGGTTTTAGTGCCTCTGGTGTGTTGATGAGAGAGAGAGAGAGAGAGAGAGCGAGTGGTGCTATACCTGAGATGCCGAACTTGGATATAGGAGGTAGGGAGGGATTAGGTAGGGATATATATATGTGTGTGTGTGTGTGTGTATGTATGTATGAATATTTATATTTATATTTTGTGATTTTTTTGAACTTCCTATTTCTTTAATTTTTGTACAAAATAAATGGACTTGTTGGAGAAGGAAATAATTTCCAACTAACACTGCTATAATGCCAGTTTGGGAAACAATCAGAAAACTACTTTTTTTTTTTTTTTTCTTTTTTTGGTAATAAATATCTTCATTCTCTAGGAAATGGCCTAAAGAATGAACTAATAATGAGTAGAGAAATTTTCATATCTTGGCACAGCAGAGGAAGTTTGTTAGACTGTTACTGGAGATTCCCTTTAATGGAGCCCACTCTACAAAAAAATCTCAGTACTCTGATTTTCTTCTCTCCTTTTTGATATTCTTTTCTTTCCCTTCTTGTTTAATTCTACTTACTCTGCTATATATGGTTGTTTCCTTGGGCAAAAAGAAATTTCCTTTTTTTACTGTCTTTTTCATTCTTTTTGGTCGGAAACAGTTATTTGCAGTTTTGCACTTTAACAAAAATTACCATTTCCGATTTTTTTTGGCTTTTCTTTTTGTTGCTGACACTTGTTCACATGTAGAGTAAAGACCAACTAGAAAAAGAAATTGGCCTCGTTTATTTCACCGATTTGAGTTTAAAATTCAAGTTTTATTACAGTAAAAAGCTCTCAGAAACAGTCACATCTAACTTTTTTATTACAGTAAAAAGCTCTCACATAACGTCACATCTCAACTCGAATCAGCGAACTAAATCAGCCAGAGAAAAAAACAGGGCCCTAAAATTAAAAAAAAAAAAAAAAAAAAAAGAAAAAGAGACCATTGGTGTTGATTTTAATTCCTGTTTTGTGTGAAGGACACTGAATTGACTCATGCGAGCAGATCCCATGCAAATTTCATGTAGAAACCACATTATTGCATAGCTTTTAAGACTAGGCTCCCACATATAACTGTAAATAGATAATTAAAATGCATTTACAGAGATGCTAGGATGTAGGAAGCCAAAGCAAGTAGTGTTGGGAGACTATCAAATACAGTTCACCTACTCAGCTGGGCATAGAGCGTAGGTATTGCATGTTGTTGGACCTATATACTTCATCATATAAGTAGTTACCTCTTTTACAATAACGATAATAATAATAATAATAATAATAATAATAATAATAATAATAATAATAGTAATTGTAATAGAAAAAATTACAAAAAACAAAAAAAACCTAATGTAGTTGTACCTTCTTTGTGGATCCTAGTCACCACTACTTTCCCCCATGCATTTTGGCAACTCAAACTAACCCAGTTGAATTCACCTTTTTAAGAATGATAGTAACTAACTATTTAGTTCTTTGGGTATAACAAATTTAAGCGTTTATTTCACAACTCAAGTTCTTAATTTGAGTTGTATTTATGAGAGAAAAATATTACAGCAAAAAAAAAATAAAAATTTTATTAAAAAAATACTATAGGAATAAAACTTGAGTTGTGAAAAAAAAAATCAATAGAGATAATTTATAAGTTTTTCTTTCCTGTTTTTCTTTTTTTTATAGAATATTACTTTTTCTTTCCATGAATTAGGAAAAAGCGCCCAAAGGACTGCTATTCTGACCTTTTGCATGTGATGGAGTTCACTCTTCAATTGTGAATACTTTGGTAAAGTTAAAAGTATTTCTCTTTATTCACTAGAAAAAAAATTATTTGATTGTAATTCAAGAAAAGTTAATGTCCAATTAATTTAAATTAATTTAAATAAGCGGTTCGATTTATCTAATAAAAAATTAATGACTCTAAATATAGCATTATTTTATGAGGACATGTAAAGAGTAAAAAGAAACTCGTATCCCATATTATTTAAACACAAAATAAACATAAACTTATAAAGTTACTGGGCCATATATCCACCTAACAAGAGTAACATTTTAAGATAAAAGTTCAAATCCTTAAAAACTTTAATTCCATCTATCTCTCATGCCATGAAAACATAGAAAGAGGAAAGAGGAATTGTATTCTATGCTAATAATAAATAAAACGGTTAATTACACGTAAGAGTTGTCTTATTTTAAGGTAAAATCAATATTCTAAGCCTCAACTTCGGCCAAATTGTTGGCACCATAGGCATTTGCGAAGAAAATAAAAATATATAATAGCAAACTGTTAATTTCCAAAATTAAAAGATTATTGATCAAAAACGTTAAAAATAGAAGTGAAGTTTTTGTCCCTTCAAAAAAAAGAAGTGAAGTTTTTGTAATTAACCTAAATAGAATCAACTTTCAGCATATTACTACTAATCTCAAAGATAAAGAAAAATATAGTGATCTATCTTCAAAAATGGACAAAAGCTTAATCTAACAGAAATGATCAATTATAGCAAGATTACGTGTTAGTTAAACTATTTATTTTTATTAAAAAATATACATGAGTTAAAAGAAACAAAAAATTTCCTTTTTTTTTTTGTTTGGTATTGTTAGGGATAAATACTTCTGGAACTACAAGAAATTAGTTCCCAAAGCAAATAAGTCTTTGGTGCTGCAACACGTTTCTTGGGTGTAACTCTGTCGGAGAAATTAATAATTTCCAAATCCTAATTTCATAGCCATCAAACTATACACTTTGTAGGAGGCAAGATAAATGTGTTGCTTAATTGCCTTCTTTTTCTTTACTTTTTCCTAATATCTAGCACATCCGTGTACGATATACAGCTCAGGATCCCAAATATACAAGGAAGCATTTTCATTTCAGAGCCTCAGCCTTTTTATACTTACACATAGCCGTGTTTAAAATTAATCTTGTTTTTATTTTTACGTTTTTTGGCACAATAAAAATAAAAAATAAAAATGAAAATGATTTTTTAGTTTAGTATAAAATGAGAGAAAAATAAAAAATGACTTTTAGTCATTTTTTATTTTTTTATTTTCATTTTCTCATCTATCGAACAGAGAGAAAGAGTAAAAGACATTAATGCGTTTTTTTATACTAAAAATAATCTCTTGATAAAACTACCAAATGCATTCTCAAAAATAATTTCTGTCTGAGATTGAAAATATTTTCATTTTCATTTTCATACAAAAAATAAAATCATTTTGAAACGAGTTCCAAACGCACTCATAATAGCCCACTTTTAAAAAATGAGAATGGGTATGAAAAGCCTACTGTGAGGCTCTGATGTGAACCATTAGATCATTATCAGATTATGCTGGTTCTGCTTACATATTCCTTTTAATGTAACTTTAGTTAGTACTTATAAACACGCACTACCGGTAGTGCATTTCTCCTGATAAAATTCAGCCTAAAGACTTCTTCTCACACTTAGAGGTGACGATTTCGCAAAAAGGGTACCTCTAGTTGCGTCCTGTCCTCCATACATTGCAGCTTAACAACCACGGCATGTGGAGTCAAAAAAAAAAAAAAAAAGACGGCATGTGATCATGATACAGTGCCGTGAAAATTTCTCTCCTGATATATTGATATTGATAAAAATAAAAAATAAAAAAAACCAAGTAGGTCAAGTCCTTGATTTGGTACTAGGGTAGGGGATCAAGCTGCAGATTGCGGAGAAAAATTCACCTGCCTTAAATTTTTCCGAGTGTCAACTTTTGACAATTTTTCATTTTTCTTTCTGAAAAAAATTCATAAAGTTGAGTGTGCCAAATGCTCGTGATTCCTCAAATGTCTCGTGATTTCTTCCAGCCGCTCGTACATCTCATTACTTCTCGGATGCGATTTATCGCCTTTCCGAAACTCGTAAACCACGCCATCAAGTTCAATTGTACTGCATCCAGGAGTTTTCTTCATTTTCTTTTCCTTCATTTCTTTTCTTAACTTCACCGCATCTCTCCATTTATTTGCAGAGGAATATATGTTTGACATGAGCACATATGCACCATCTTTCTCCGGCTCAACCTCTAGTAGTTTTTCCATAACATCTTCGCCGAGCTCAACTTCCCCGTGGATCCTGCAAGCTCCCAAAAGGGCGCCCCAGATGTAGGCGTCGGGCTCCATTGGCATGCTACTAATAAGCTCCTCCGCCTCCTCGATTAATCCAGCTCGGCCTAAAAGGTCGACCATGCAGCCATAGTGCTCGGTTTGAGGTCTAAGGTTATGCACACATGACATGTCGTTGAAGTACTTCTTTCCTTCCGCCACAAGGCCTGCATGACTACATGCTGTTAGAACACCTATAAATGTCACCTCGTCTGGTTTTATGCCCACTCGAGGCATCTCGGAGAAGATATCCAATGCCCTTAAGACGTCTCCATGCATAGCTAAGCCGACTATTACGGCAGTGTACGAATACACATCTCGACGCTTCATGCCTTCAAACACCCTGCAGGCACGGTCTATGCTTCCACACTTTGCATACATGTCCACCAGTGCGTTCCCTATAATCCTGTCCGCCTCAATCTGATTTCGATCTATATACACATGAACCCACTTCCCTAACTCAAGCAAACCAAGATTTGCACAAGAATTCAAAACGCAAACTAAAGTAACATCATCCGGCTTAACTCCTACGCTTTGCATCTTCCGAAACACGTCCAACGCACCCTTAAACTCCCCTTGGTGAGCCAACCCCGATATCAACGAATTCCAAGAAACCACGTTTCTAACCGGCATGTCGTTGAATATCTTCCGCGCTGAACCAGCATCGCCACACTTTAGATACATGTCGACCAACGCATTCCCGACAAAAACATCAGACGTCACCCGATTATCGCGCACATAGTCGTGTATTCTTCTACCCAATCCCAAGTCTCCAAGCTTCGAACAAGCGGAGAGAACAACCACCACCGTCATCTCATCCGCCTTCAATTTCGCATCACACATCTCGAAGAACGCCGCAACACCTTCCTTGGGGAACGCCATCTTGACATAACACTGAATGAGCGTGGTCCAAGACACCAAGTCTCGTTGAGAACTTTCGTCGAACACTCGGCGGACGGAACTCACAAGCCCGCAAACAGCATATAGCCTCATGAGAGTATTCTTCACATAAACATTGGACATCAACAGCCCAGTCTTGACGGCATAACTCTGAATCTGCACACCTTCTCTCATCGCCTGAGACCGCGCACAGGCCTTGAGAACAAAAGGGACGGTGTAGTTATCGGGGACGAATCCATTAACAAGCATTTCTCGAAACAAAGACAAAGCTTGGAGCGAATTTCCGTTGGAGGAGAGGCTCCGAAGAATGGCGTTGCAGAGGTCGACGGAGAGATCTGGGTTTTCCAAATGCCTTAAGATGTAGCAAAAGTAAGAGAACTTTTCGGAGGAAGAAATGGATTTGGGAGAGAAAAGAGGGAAAGTTTTGGTCTTGAGGACAAAGGCGTGGATTTGTGGAAGGTTTTGGAGGTTTTGGGATTTGGGAGATTGAATGGAATTCAGATGGTTGATAAGAGTTGAAGTCGGGCGATAGTTGGTGTAAGATGTTAACATCAGTGATAGTGTAGTTTTGCAATGCCTGATCTTCAACCTGAGACACTCGAGTGGATAAGTGGAGGACAGAGTAAACTGCATTTGCAGTTTAGCACGAGGGAGGAGGAGTGAGGGAACTGTACTAACTAACTTAACTAACTAAAATATTAGAAAAAAAAAAAAAAAAAAAAAAATTTACCAACAATAAACTGGACTGAGTTCTCTTAATTAAAAAAAAAAAAAAATCCAAACATCCAAATTACGCTGTCGGATTGGATCTAGATGCCTTTTGAAGAAATATAACAATTTTATATAGTATTTATATATACATATATAACAAAATGAAAAAAAAAATATATATATATATATTTTTTTTTTCTACTGTCTGACTAATATGTAGAAATAAAAAAAAAAAACTTAACACAAACATTATTTAATATAACATGATTGAATATTAGAAAACATACACCAAGAAATTTTGCCATCTCATACTATTATTATACTTTAATTTAGTTATTTAACATAATACCGATGCTAGAAATGTGTAATAATAATGATAGATAATTTATTATTCTTAGTGTCTCACATTTTCAATATCAAAATTATGGTAAATAAATGTCATGTTAAGTTTTCACTTCTACATGTCAAGATAGTAGGATTATAGAAATACCCAATAATTTGTCTACAGTCCCTCCATCATAATAGGATTATAGAAAAACCCAATAATTTGTCTACAGTCCCTCCATCATAAAATGTAGAAGTGAAATATAACATCACAATAATATTAACATTAAAAATTGTGAGACACCAAGATAATTAATTATTTCCGACTATCATTACACCTTTTTAATGTCCGTATTATGTTAAATAACGAAATTAAAGTGTACCAATAGTCTGAGATAGTTAATTTTATTTTTGTTACATCTTTATAATATTTGTATTATGTTAAATAAATGTCACGTTATGTGTCTACTTCTCTATGGTATAATGAGATCATAGACAAAGTTCAGGACAAATTCTAATTTCTAATTTCTCAGACGAATGCTTATAATTTGTTCACAAAATAAATAGCCTATATGTCTATATTATGTCTTCCCTATGCACATTATGGCATATGCTAAATTTTTTATTAATTAAAATTTTCATAAAAGCTATTAGAAACAAGTATGATTTTTTCCCCCAAAATATAGACATAGTAATGATTAATTAACAAAAGTTGCTAATAGATATTTTGTTTTATTTTTAAAATCTATTTCATTTCAATTTATTATATGATTTTTATGAGATATTAATTAGTTACATAGTTCCACTAAGCTTTATTTTTAAGCAAAGTTCTATTAACTTCTAAGAGGATAACAAACTAAGAAAAAAAGAAGAAGAAGAAATTCACCCTTAAAAATTAACGGTATAAAAAATTCAAATCCAACTAATAATTAAAAAAAACGTTTGTTGCTTTTTAGTTGAAAGTAGTTTAAGAACATTTGTCGAGAGAAAAAAAAATAAGAGCGCTGAATCTGAAAAGAAGGTAGAAAGAAAGAACGAAAGTGTTCTAGTTAGTGCTCCATCACTGCTTTTAGGAACGTAGGCTCCCGATCATGTATTTATGTGTAGGAGGGAGCTGGTTGTTTTGGGCGGCATGCCAGACGTGTCGTTTCTCGAGCTCTCATGGTCTTTTAAGAGCGGTTTTTGAGTTATAGTAATTTAAGTATAAATTTTGAATTAAATTTGAGTTATAATTTAAGTTAAAGTTATAATTTGAGTTTGTATTTAGTTGTGTACATTCGAGTTATAGTTTGAGATGAGAATCCTTTTGAGTTTGTGTTAGGATGAGTCAAAACTTGAGTTTGTATTTAAATATTATTTTAATAAAAAATCAATGATAATAGAAAATTTTAATAGGGTATATGGGTAGGGTTTTATTCGTCTCTTCGTTGTGAACGCATAAAAAAAAAATCTAAATCAGAATTAAAACGAAAAAGTTATAGCGTTTTTAATAATAAAAAAATATTATTTATTAACTTGAGTTTGAATTTATGAACTTGAGTTGAAGAGAAAACTTGAACTCAGATTGTAACTCCAAACTCAAATTAAAATTTAAATTAAAACTCAAATTTTATAAAAGAAAATAAACTTAAATAAAATTATAATTTGAGTATAAATTTTTTTAAAATTTTGATGTAAACAAACAAGTTCTTAATGTCTCGTCCTAGTGATGCAGTGGATCTGGCGCCGTTGAAAGTGTCGTGTTAGGCTGTAGTACGAGGTTGTGCGTGTGGTGCACATGCGTTTTGGCAGCAAGTCGACTGTGCTTTTTTTTTTTTCTCTCTCCTCATCCGGTGCCTTATCACTTCTTGCTGTTTTAGGCATTGAAGGTCGTTTCTCAACTTGAAGCTTTGTTGTTGTTGTTGTTACTGTTTGTAGTTGTTCGTTTGATCTTGATTTGGGGTTTGTAATAACGATGATTTTTACCTTGACTTGTTTATGACTTTTTTTTTTTGGTTTAGTATTTTGTTGTTTTTTCATCTACTGATTTTGTTTCTGACTAGTTTTTTGTGCGTTCTTTTTCTATTTGCGTGTCGTTTAGTGTTGGGATTATTGATTGGATATTTCTAGTTAAAGAGTTATGTGTGCTTCATATTTTGTTTAACTCCTTAGATATTTTTTAGAGATTGGCGCACACTTTTTTTTAGTGTTTTATTGAAATTACATATATAAAATCAAATTTTTACTAGTGTCGTGCTTCTTATGGTAAGCGACTGTATGCTGTGTAGATGTGAATTGATGTAAATTTTATCATTACATAAAATATTTTACTTTAAAAAGTGTTGTTTATCTAATTTAATCTAATTTAACAAGTACACAAGCGTATAAAGACGTGAAAGTCACACCTTCCCAAAACCTCGATTTATCTCTTTCTTTTTGCCTTCATTTTGCTTTTGTGATTTTACATGTGTTTTTGGTTCTTGCTTCTTTTTTTTTTTTCCTCTCAAGATCTTACATCTTTTATTTTATAATATCCACCAATAAAAATTATTTCTTCTAATTTTGTCCATGTTACATAATACTTTAAAATATATATATATATATATACACGATCTTTGTAAATACTTTTTTCCCCCTATTGATATATATATATATATATTTTTTTTTTCCTGTAAAAATGTGCTCCTATCTAAATGGACATTAAAAATATAAAATCAGGTAAATTACCTAAACTATCAAATCTAAAAGTTTCTTAATATGAAAATAAATACAAGTAAAATCAAATTATGATAAACTTTATCTAATTACCGCATAACCCTTTCTTTGAGATAATTACACTGTTGTGACGTTTAGTTTATGAATTCAAATCATGTGATTAGAATTATTTTTTATTTACGTGTGTTTTTTATGAGAAAAAATATTATAATAAACCATAAATTATAATTTAAATCAGAGAACGAATCTAGATACCAAACGGACTCGCAGCGTCACAATCTCACATCTTGAGCTGAAAACGAGAAATTCATTCTAATTGGGCTGGGCCACGGATTCTGGCCTAGTTGCACTCCGCTGCATACTCCCTCCACAATGCCTGGCAGAAGACGAAGAACAAACTAGAGAACCGGAAACTGCAATTTTCTTCTTCTTCTTATTTCTCTGATCAGCTTCTCCGCAAATCACCGATCAAACGATCTAAGAAGAACAAAATCCATTCATTTCCCGTTCTCATCCCCCAAAACAAATCCACAACTCGCAATTTAATCGAAAACGAAGACAAAGAAGACGCAGAAGAAGAAGAATACCTCAATTGATCGACAATGGCGGAATTCATGGACCTAGAGGCGCAGGACGGCGTCCGAATGCCGTGGAACGTGCTGCCCGGCACGAAGCAGGAGGCGACGAGCTGCGTCGTCCCTGTGTCGGCGATCTACACTCCGATCAAGCCCCTTCCCAACATCCCCGTCGTCCCTTACGGCCCTCTCCGCTGCCGCACCTGCCGCTCCATTCTCAACCCTTTCTCCATCGTCGATTTCGTCGCCAAGATCTGGATCTGCCCTTTCTGCTTTCAGCGCAACCATTTTCCCCCTGGATACGCCACCATCTCCGACGACAACCTTCCTGCCGAGCTCTTCCCTCAGTACACAACAATCGAGTACGAGGACCAGGCCTCCAACGCCTCGTCGCCGCCTCAGCCGCCGGTTTTCATGTTCGTCCTCGATACTTGCATAATTGAGGAGGAGGTGGCCTTCCTCAAGTCCGCGATTTCGCAGGCGATCGATCTCCTCCCCGATCATTCTCTCGTCGGATTGATTACCTTCGGCACTTTCGTCCATGTTCATGAGCTAGGGTTCGGGCAAATCTCTAAGACGTATGTTTTCAGAGGATCGAAGGACGTTTCCAAGGATCAGCTTCTCGAAAGCATGAATTTCTTCCTCAAAAAGCCGAAACCGAGCGCCGGTGTCATTGCCGGCGTCAGGGATGGTCTCTCCGCCGACGCCATCTCTCGGTTTCTGTTACCTGCGTCGGAGTGCGAGTTCGTGCTGAATTCGGTACAATTCGGTCTCGTTTTTTTAGTGAATGTTGTTTGGTTTGAGGATTTTGCTGAATTTGATGGTTTGTCCATGTGTGAATAGGTGTTGGAGGAGCTGCAGAAAGATCCTTGGCCGGTGCCGGCTGATCAGCGGGCGACGAGGTGCACCAGCACGGCCCTGAGCATAGCAGCCAGTTTGTTGGGAGCGTGCTTTCCTGGCTCCGGAGCTAGAATCATGGCGTTTGTGGGCGGTCCATCGACGGAAGGCCCTGGTGCGGTAAGGACTGTTGGTTTTTGCTCTCTTTCATTGTTCTGCAAAATGTATTAATATCCAATAGTCATAGCTCACGGTGATATCTGATCATCAAACTATCATGGTATTGAAAAATGGGGCGCTTATAGATGGAAAAAGAGAAATTTCTTAAATTGAAAAGTGCAAATGGCAAAGCAGTGAGCAGCCAAAAAGGTTGTTCTTTTCTCCTGCTATAGTTATTGTTGTGTGGGAAAATGTGACGGACACGTGGAAGAATGATAATATGACACGTGGCCTTAACCACTCCCCGCAAAACAACAACCCTCGACGTCTGGGGGCTCCCCCCAGTCCATTATAAAAAGCCCAAGTACGAAGTCCAACTTAAGGCGTCGATTCCATCTGACGTCGATAGGTCGTACTGTCAACCTTTAGACATAGAAATCCCTTGATCGTAGAATCAACCGCCAAGAAGGACAAGCAACACTGGCGACGAGGGGAATGCTCTTTGGGGAAAAACCTGACGTGACAAGTTGCGTACAGAAGTGGGGGATGTCTGCAAAGCAGGCATTAATTGCGAACCCTTAAACCGCCCCACAGGGGACAGAAAAGGGTTAAAGGAACGCACAGAGCCGTAATAGAAGACTAATTGACTGAGTGAACAGTACTCTAAGTAATTAGTAGGCTACGTCTGGGCCTAAAAAGGAAGAGTACTTGAGTGCTTCTGCCTACAAAGGAAATCAACCCAGCGAAGGAAGCCCCAGTATAAAAAGGGCAAGACCTCATACAGGAAGGGGGTTCAGATCCAAGAGAGGAAAAAGAGTGAGAGAGAACAATTGATGTAAATTGTAATCCCCTAAAAAAAAATATACAACCACAGTAGATGTAGCTCTGATTCTATAGAGTGAATCACTATAAAATCTCTTGTCTTCTTTATTTGTGTACATCTTTGATTAACGCACAACACACCCCTCCAACAAATCCTTACACACATTCAACACTAAGGCCGGTAATTCAACGGGAAACTCAGAAGTAACCCGGTCTGTTTTTGTTGACGATAATTCACCGTCAACAGTTATATCTAGTGATTATGCCGTAAATCCTCTGGTTCTAAGCATTAGTTATAGTGCGTAAACGACAAGATATAACATTGAGGATGTATGGTGATCTATTCCAGTTTTGCTTTTCATTAAATTCTGTCACTACCCAATAGTCATAGCTCATGCCTCATGGTTGATATTTTCTCAACAAGCCACTTGACATGATATCTACTATATAGAGCAACTCCAACCATGCTAGCCATTTCATGGTTTCAGCCAAAAGGCTAACAATTTAACTCTTTTTTATTATTTTTTTTAAGCTTTTCTCCACTCCAACCATTAGCTAAATGGTTAGCTATTTTAGAGAATACCTTCCAGACTAGCTAAATATAGCTAGCATGGAGAGGCTAGCCATTTCATGTTTTTTATTATTTTAGAGCACTTGAACTTGGGTTTGATATGGCACCACCATCAATGCTGCTAGTGAGAAAAACGCTATCCTATGTTATGGTCTTCGTTATGCATTCATATGCTAAGAAGAATTTCCTGTTTCTTCATTCTAAAATTTTGTTAATATTAGCTTTTAAGAAGTAGAAAAACATTCAAGGAAGCTTGGCTTCCAGCTTTTAAGAAGTGGAAAGCCATTCAAGGAAGCTTGGGCTCTATATAAAGGGAAATGGAGTAACTGTTTTTTATCCCTTACGTCTTCAACAATACCTTAGATGTAATTGGCTGATGTTTATACCGTTGGGGGCTTCTGGAATGGTTGGTTGTAACTTATAACATCTATAGATCCATTAGAAAACAATAAAAAAAAAAAAAATCTATATTATACCTCTTGAGTATATGGCTGTTTAAGCTTTTCTGTGCATCAGTATATTGTTTCTTAGTTGGATTTATGCTTCAAATATTCATGTTTGCTCAGAATTTGGTTTCTATTTTCTAAGTTTCTGCTTTATTTTTTAAATGTCTATTATCTTTTTTTGATTTGAAAACAACTTTATTGATAAAAATCAATTACAGGAGAGAGGATAATGAAAAAACAAATACAAGAACAAAACTGAAACAAAAATAGGAAATCCATTCCCTATTACATCTTTCCAAGGGAAAACAAGCAAAGAAAAAGGGAAACCCTTAAAGACTTTGTCAGACGAAGTCCATAAAGAGGCTGTGAACTTTGCTTTCTCAAAATGACCAATAATGTCCATCTCTTTTTCCTAAAAAATTCTAGCATTCCTTTCCGATCATAGAATCCACATAACAGAAAGCACCATACTTTCCACAGCACTTTAGCCATCTTGTGCAGGCCTAAACCCTCCAAATTTTCCTTCAAAACTGGACTGTAACGAGCTGGGGAAACCCAATAAAAACTGTTAACACTTTTTTGTGTATGGCTTAATGTCTCTGTTATTTGTTCTAGTGTAAATGGCATCCCCTGGTTATAAAGTTTTGATGAGTTTTTTATGTATGTTTCTCGTAGATTGTATCGAAAAATTTATCTGAACCAATTCGTTCACATAAAGACCTGGATAAGGATTCTGCTCAACATTTTCATAAAGCTGTGAAGTTCTACGAGGGACTTTCAAAGCAGCTCGTACATCAAGGACATGTACTTGATCTTTTTGCTTGTGCCCTTGACCAGGTAACTTTGAAGTTTTTTGTCTTTGTTGTTTGTGCTGTATGGTTTATCTTATGTATTATTATTTTATTTTATTTTATTTTAACTGTCTTCTATCTTGTTATAAGTTAAAAAGATGACATAGCATTGATTTTTTGCCAAAAACTTTTGTCTTCTCTCTCTAAGGTGGGGATGGCAGAACTTAAAGTTGCTATCGAAAAAACCGGTGGACTTGTTGTACTTGCAGAAAGTTTTGGCCATTCGGTATTTAAGGATTCACTTAAACGTGTTTTCCAGTCAGGCGATCATGATCTTGGTTTAGCCTCAAAGTAAGTTCCATTGAGCTCATCAATCAATAAATTGCTGGTTAAGTGACATCCTGATCATTTTAATAGTGTCATTGAGATCTATCCAAAATTAAGGACATGACCGTCTGTTTTTTTCTTTTGATTTAAACAATCCTATATGTTTCTTTTGTAGTTTTCATTCTAGAGTAGAAAAAGTCTCAAGTTTGTTCAAATGCTCAAAAGTTTGTAAATTTTGACTTCACTTAATTTTAAAAGAATTCCCCTTCTACTTTAAACAATAGTACATAAGTGTCGGATCTAATCTGTAGAAGTATTGCTTGAAAGAGAACATAATCTCAAATTCTTTTTCTTTTTGTGGGTATTGTTACTATGGTGTTTCAACTTGTGAATTATCTTTATTATGATTTTGATTTTTTACTTTCTTGTAGTGGTATATTTGAGATAAACTGCTCAAAGGATATCAAGGTTCAGGGCATAATTGGTCCTTGTGCATCTCTTGAAAAGGTAAAATTCTACAGTGATCTGTATTTTTGCTAGTTGCGTGTTTCTCATACTCATTCATTTCTGATGACTTTGCAGAAAGGTCCTCTATGCTCTGACACGGTTGTTGGCCAGGGAGGTACCAGTGCATGGAAGATGTGTGGCCTTGACAAAGCTACGTCTTTGTGTTTACTGTTCGAAATAGTTAAGAAGGAAATTCCAGAAGCTGCAGTTGCGACTGCTAGCAATCAATTTTACTTCCAATTTTTAACTTAGTATGAATTACACGCTTACACTTTCGTAAGAAATTATTTTTGAGTTATGCTTGCATAGATGACACCATTCTTACTTATTGAAGATGTTGTGCTACAGTTATCAGCATAACAGTGGTAAAATGAGACTTCGTGTTACAACCCTCTCGAGAAGATGGGTAGCTGGACAGGGAAGCCTACAGGCAAGTACTTTACTTTTGATGATGTTCTGTGAATTATTAGTATAATCTAAAAGAAAATAATTTCCTGCTCGGGAACACTACTGAGATCTTTCTGTCTGGTTAAAAGTGGGCGCCGCCCCTTGTATATTCTCTCCTAATGCAACTATTTGTCATTTTTCGTTTGCAATTCATCTGTCTTATTATTTGCTTCAGGATTTGATTGCTGGATTTGACCAAGAAGCAGCTGCTGGAGTCATGGCACGCCTAGTTTCTTTTAAAATGGAGACTGAGGTAATATTCAACTTACATGGGGTTTTGTTTTACACATCTAGGTATTTATACCTGAACTCTGAAAGTATAAGCTCGTATTTTCATATTAGCAAGGTCCATTGCAAATTTCCCAGTTGGAAATGACTATTTGTTGTGCTCTCTCTCACACGCACACACATCCACCAGCCCCGAAAAAGAGGTTATCCAACTAAACTATTCACCTACGGTTTTATTTTTTTTAAGGTAATGTTCAATACGGTAGACTTTACTGTCGCGTCTTCCTAATTTACATATGGTATTATGCGCTATTTAATGAAGGGTGTGGCATATTGTTTCTGCCAGTGCCTTCTTCATGGGAAAACTGCAACTGGCTATTTTGTTACAAGGGCACACTAAGTCACCTATTGTATGAGTAATATATTTTAATTGCTGAAGAGACGATTTTACATGCTGCTCATGTTGAAGTTAAACATTTGTTTCCCTGTACGACTTGTGTAATCCTGACCATGCTGCAATTTCATGAAGTATTGTATTTGTTTTTCAGGCAGAGTTTGATCCTATTAGGTGGCTAGATAAATCATTGATACATCTCTGTACGCGTTTCGGAGATTACCAAAAAGACAGTCCATCTTCTTTCAGCTTAAATCAGCGACTTTCAATATTCCCTCAATTTGTTTTTCATTTAAGACGCTCTCAATTTGTCCAGGTATACCATCATGTTTCTTTGACAAGACTTTTCATTATTATTTATTCATATGTTGTCATTTTAGAATTCTTATTCAACGCGAATAAGTTGTGTCACAGGTTTTCAATAACAGCCCGGATGAGACTGCATACTACAGAATGATTCTAAATAGGGAAAATGTTGCCAATTCGGTTGTGATGATACAGCCTTCATTGATCTCATACTCATTTCATACGGCCCCAGAACCAGCATTTCTTGATGTAGCTGCCATCGCAGCTGATAGGATTCTACTTTTGGATTCCTATTTTACTGTTGTTGTTTTTCATGGTTCAACTATTGCTCAGTGGCGAAAAGCTGGATATCATACTATGCCAGAACATCTGGTAACTCTCAAGTGCTTTGATTTCTCTGATATTATTCCAATCATAATGTAATGATTTCAACCCATCTAGATATCCGTGAACTATAATGTTATTATACTTCGTGTTTCCTGTTTCTTTATAAAAGTCCTTTGTTTTCCATACGATCTGATGTCGAAGAAACTAAAGCTCCTCGATTAATATTAGTGATTTCTGACTTGTTGGAAAAAGAATGTGTTCTATTTGTGTGTACAACTGCAACGACATAACAGTCTGCCCTGGACCCTTAATCTCCATTTTTTCCCTCAACTTTTTGGTGCTCAATGGTCACACTTCCATGATATACTTGACCTCCAATTAACCTAAACTGAGATTTTCTTTTTTCTCTTGCTAATGGGTTCTGAGATCCTATGGGAGTGTTGTCGTCCTTGAATCTCACAGTATGAACTTAAAATGGTTTGTGCTTGCAGGCATTTGCTCTGTTGTTGCAAGCTCCTCGTGATGATGCAGATGCAATAGTCAAGGAAAGATTTCCGGTTCCTCGCTTAGTGGTTTGTGATCAGCATGGTTCTCAGGTATTCCAATGTTTATCACTTTTAATCTTTACAGTGTCAGGTCTAACCCTTGTTGAATATTAAATGGGTGTCAATTTGGTTTGTCACTTTGACTACAGCCAGCAAATTATCTTCACTGATCATCTTGGACTTGTTACATCATACTTTTCTGAATAAGATCCACACCATCCAATTGATCATAATCACATAAGAAATATAAATCTGATTGTTCTATCTAGTTAGGCTAATTGTAGCGTAGATTTCTATTGTCCTTGATATGAATAATCAGTCATCTGCCCCGCATATTTTAGCCGAGGCAGTGTTTCACTGGTGCACTGGTGCACTGGTGCACTGCTGCTAAGTGCTAGTTAGATGCCATAGTTGTTGAGGTTGCCATATCATGGTTTAAAATGTAAAGGTACCAATATGGTTATTATTATTTTTTTTAATCTCTCTAATATGAGTAGTCTGTTGCCTCTAATCTGTATCGTTGTGTATTCGTGTAGGCTCGATTCCTTTTGGCAAGATTGAATCCATCTGCTACATATAACAATGATGCTCCTCTCCCTGGAGGGGATATCATCTTTACAGACGACGTTAGTTTTGAGGTCTTCATGGATCATCTCAAAAGATTAGCGGTTCAATAAAATTCCAGAGGGGCGTCTCTACAATTTTGTACAATTTATTTTCCCCCCATTTTCCAATTGCTTGTATAGTTATGCATACGACTAGTTCCTATTTCATAGCACTGTATTGGTTTTTGCTCTTTTTGACGTCAATTTTATGAGTCGATTAATTGTGATAGGAAGTGTTTTCTTTTTTCTTTTTTTGACCTATAGTACAATAGATTCATTGATGAGTTTCCCCCTTTTTCGCCAAAATAATTTTGGCATATCATACCAGTCATATTTTCCCCCTCTTTGGGACAGTAATTTCCTTGCAATTCCATGTTTAAAGGGAACAAATTATCGTTATCCCATTGAAGACCGATTCCAGAGTTGCATGTATTGGTATGGTAGACTTTACTGTCGCGTCTTCTTGTGAACGGAGTTAATTGTTACTTGTGCCAAACTTGGTCCGAGTCCATTTAACTTGCATGTTAATGTTTTCATAAAACTAAGTTGTAGTGTGTTATAGTATTTGGTTATAGCCTTTGCTATTTCCCAGTAACTTCTAGTAAGCACGTATGCTCCATTTCTTTATTTTTCTTCTCGTCTAAAAAAAAAAAAAAAAAAAAAGATTTGGCAAAATAAACTGAAAAATTATGACGGATTTTCTCGACTAGTACAGAGAAGATCGTATGTAAGTTTCTCAAAAAGAACACGCAAATATCTACGAAAAAAAATACTAAAGTTACCTAATTTTGTTTTCTAGGTTGATTTAACAATTTACAGTCTTTTATATTAAACGCTATATATACTCCAAAAAAAGTAGATGCACGCTATAGCGAGCGAAATTTAATCAAGTAATACTATACACGGTGCTTCATTTTGCTGGAACAATGTTTGTGATTTTACTTTGAACATACGAAAATGTCGCAAACAAGCCAACACTTTGCAGCGGTGCTATGTCTTCTTATTGTAAAAGTATATGTTTATCCTGCTAAAAGTATAAAGGGGATATCAACAAGTCCCTTTATTTAGCAAAGTCCTTTTTACGCCTAATGGATTTGGCGCTTTACTTCGGTTGGAGTACCACCGGGCGTGCGATGATCAACTTGCATAGCAATAAGACAGTCCTCTTTATGCTTCATTATTGTGATCGCTACTGCCGGTCTGTTGCTCAAGCTTGGCACTTTCAGCCTTATAACAGCTCATGAATTTGGCTATAAACTCTGCAACAAATTAGAGGAAAAAGTCATCAGTTTTACTTATTTATTTATTTATTTAAACAAAAGAGCGCTAGTGGGATTAATGTGACATGTCACTTTCCAGCTATACGAACATCCAAAGGAAAATCGGAGGCTCGAATCTAAGATCATACCCTTCTTAGTGAGAGATGGCCTTAAAGTCCTTACCACTTAGACCAGCCCTTGGGGCTGAAAGTACAGTTCATATACAGAAGAAAATAAAAACAATTGTACTATATATGATGCACATATTTACTTAAAATATTGTTCTGTATTGGTTTGGTATGATCGGTGATCTATTAGTTGTTGTTGGTTTGATAACAACTACACCCCTGAACACCCAAAGGCAAAACATGGCTCGAACCTAAGACTATTCCCTCTATAAGAAAAAAAAAAAAAAAAAACACATTTTATATGCGAAGACAATGAAAACAACTGTACAACATACGTTCCGTACATTTACTTAATAAATTTGTTCCATATAACAAATAATGACTTATGATAGAAGGTTCTTTCTTCAAAACCTCCAAAAGAATAGAAACTGTAGTGAAAACTACGTACGGAAATAAGTCATGCATGGATTACACATGCATACAGTCTTCTTACCTTCAATCCTCATGAACTGCTGCTGAACATCATTCTTTCTTTGTTGTGCTATTGCTTTGTCAGTACTTTCGAACAAGATTTGATCATCTTTCATCTGAGTACATTAGTGCACAAAATAAAATAAAATAAAAGGAAAAAACATAAATTGTATAAGAATGGTGGAATTTACATGCACGCATTAGTTTACGCTTAAAAAATCTGCGTATATATCTCCAAATTCTGATCAAATCTTACACTGTATTCCACGTACAGATTATGAACTCGGCGCTTTAACAGGTCGTGCAAATGCTTCTTCAGTTCTTCTACCAATGACTGCACATACAGTTTAAGCATATGTATAGATTATATTTTCTCTGTACTACTTATTTACACATACTGACATGCATATATATCGAGACATCGTATGTAAGTATACCTAAACACCCACATATACTAATTATGTCTCCATTTCCTGGGGTACATATGATATAAGTTAGACATACCTGGAAAATAAACTCAGAAGGCACATCGTGCTCTTTTAGGCTTTTAAGCTTTCCACGGATGATATATAGTCTGTCAAGGAAAAAGCTTTTAGATTTTCTTCATTTTTTTGGTAGCTCATCGTTTTAGAAGTAAATATACTTGAATGTCATCTAGCTTTATATATATATATATATATATATATAATATAGACACACACACACACAGAGTGTAGTGGACTCTAAACTAGCTGGTTTTAATCTAAGCAAAATTAATAGGATGTTAGCATGGGGGAAAATCTAGGCCGCTTACAGCTTTGGGCTTTGCTCATGAACCATGTTCTTAGCAATATTTGCAATATCATCTTCCCAACCAGTTAGAACTTCTTGATCTTCTGTAAAGGGATAACTGCAAAAGTAAATCATCCCAGAAAACATCAATTAAACGTATTAAGAAAAATAATGATCGACTGTACGGGAATGCAAATATCATTATAATATATATCATTTTAAGATCAGAGTTAGTATTTTACTTACTGTTTTAGCCAGGTAGCCTCAAGTGAACGAATAGCTTGACGAAGATTGTTTTTAGAAGTGTCGGTGATCTTTTCTGCCAATTGATGAGGTAATTCTATGCCTTCTTTTTCGGCTATGAAGTTCAACACTTCAATAATCTGAAAATTAGAGTAGAATTTATGTGTTCTTACGCAAGTACAATTACTACATATATATATATATATAAATGTATCTAGTGTTCAAGAAAAAAAATGTGTTTAATTGGCTCCCCACCTCCGTCCTTGAAGGGGGTAAAAGCTGAACAACAGTGCAAATATCTTTGATTGCTTGAAGCTTTGAGAGATCGGTGCAGCAGAAGAAGATCTTACTACACACTGTATATCTTTCCAATAGCCACTTCACATATAGGATAGCGTCTGTTGATAGCTTGTCTACTCCATAAAAGATTATTGCTGCACCCATAACGATAAATCGACATGTAGCTTACATATTCTTAGGGTTTCTGTCTTATGATTTTACTTATGATCAATTGTACGTGTTTTTTAATATAAGATTATCCAAAATCAAACAATGTGTAAAAGGAAAAGAAATTAAGAATAATCCAGTAGCTCGAAGACATTCGTTCCCCTTTCCTAGGTTAATTCCATTTGTAGTTCTCGAACCATAGGTCAAATCTCATATTTTAACATTGACTGTCAAAATGTTCTAGAATGAGCCCGACATTGTTCCAAATTAATCATTCTGCCAATTAAACCGTGAAAAAAAAAATTGTCGGAAAAGGCATGGGTTTTGTTATTTAATGGAGGCTAGTTTTGTAACTTCACAACTGCTTAATTAGGATACGACTATTCATAGGGAATTACGCCTTTCTAGTATATGACGAATTTTGAGACAACTTAATATAGATTAAGAACTCGACCGTTCTAAGATGTTTTAAACGACAAGAATTAAGATTGAATTTAACTTAAAGTTTGAGAACCAAATATAATCCTTTTCTAACAAGAGATCTTCTTATTCAAATTATGTAGCCAGATTTCTGCCTACTATATATATATATATATAT